GACTGCTTGTCTTTGCTACCTGCTCTCTGGAGTTAGTAGAGGATGTTTCAAAGAGGAAGCATGCTCTTATCACTCCTTCAGGTGGAGTTATATTTGTATGGGCAGAAGACTGAAGAATGGGATGTCAGGGGAGAGAGCTGCCTGAGAATGTCTGGCCTAGGATGTTTGTGAGACAGTGAAGAGAGGAACTCACCCAAGTGGCCCTGTGCATGGGCCACATCACACCTTTAGGTGGATGGGGTAAGGCCATGGAGTAGCAAAAGAGTCTTTGGGAGCAGGGTGACAATTCAGTTTATCTTGTGTATTATTTTTGAGCAAAAAAAAAAGGCAATCTGAATAGGAAGTCAGTCCTCACGGAGAAAGGTTGAGCATCCTCTCAACTAAAACATTTGGACTGGCTGGCACAGTGGCTCATGTCTGTAATCCCAGCACTTTGAGAGGCCGAGGTGGGCAGATCACCTGAGATCAGGAGTTTGAGACCCGCCTGACCAACACGGTAAAACCCCGTCTCTACTAAAAATACACACACACACACACACACACACACACACACACACACACACACTTAACTGGGTCTGGGGGCAGGTTCCTGCCTATAATCCCAGCTACTCAGGAGGCTGAGACAGGAGAATCACTTGAACCCAGGATGCTGAGGTTGCAGTAAGCGAAAATTGCACCATTGTGCTACAGCCTGGGGGACGAGAGTGAAACTCTGTCTCAGAAACAAACAAACAAACAAAAAGTTTGGACTTATCCTTTGGTCTATTCCTTGTAAACTCTTATGATAATATCCCTTTTAGAAACATCTTACTCTCGACATCACATAGTCTTGGATCTGCCATAATTTAAATGATGTTTCCCAAACATATTTCCCCACGGAAAGGTCAGCTACGACTTGTCTTCCTGGTCTCTGGCTCCAGCCCCCATGTTTTAGTTCTTTACCTCCCAGTCCTTCTCTAATTAAACCTCTCCATCCTGTGTCTGTCTGATCCCCCAGGGTCCCACCAGGTGCCTGGTTAACTTGTCTCAAATAAATGTATGGAATGAAGATGTTAAACATCGATAATGCAAAATATACAGTTACATGAAGAGGAAATCTGACAAAGGAAAAGATGTTCCATCTCACTAGCAATCAGAAAAATGCAAATGTGAGACAATTTTTCAATCACCAAATGAACAAAGGTGAAAAAGAGTGAAAATACCAGAGTCTGGGAGACTTTAGGGAAATGGAACATCTCACTGGTAGCAGTGGTCAGTGACACAGCTTTCTGGAAAACAGTTTGGTAATGTTTGTTATAAATGTAAAAATGTGCAGACATAGCAATTCCACTTCTGAGAGTTTATCCTAAAAAAATTGTTGAGCAGGGACCAAGGATGTTCAGACCAGCCTTAATTGATAATAAAGAATAATTAGAAATAATCTAAATGTTGGCCGGGCGCGGTGGCTCAAGCCTGTAATCCCAGCACTTTGGGAGGCTGAGGCGGGTGGATCATGAGGTCAAGATATCGAGACCATCCTGGTCAACATGGTGAAACCCCGTCTCTACTAAAAATACAAAAAATTAGCTGGGCATGGTGGTGTGTGCCTGTAATCCCAGCGACTCAGGAGGCTGAGGCAGGAGAATTGCC